GTTGTGCCGGATTCGAGGGCGAATGCTTTTCGACATTGGGAGAATGATGGAGAATGGTGATCTTTAATTTAATTAATTAATTATTTTCTTTATTTTGATTATTACTAGTGGTATTCTAGATTAGTTAGAAAACATATTTATTTATTACTTATTAGAATCCTTGTCTTGTTGGACAAGCAAGTAAGTTTAATGCTTTTGGAAGTCTTATTTAAAGATCCCTCCTACATCGTTTTCTGCAGTTGAAGTTGAATAAAAATTTACGTAGTCTCTCTCTGATTTCCCAATAGTATGCTGCACTACATCAGTTTACCATTGAAATTTTAGATGGAATTTGATGATTCAAATGACTATTTTCCAACTGTTTTTAACCGTTAAAATTTCCAACATTTCCGATAGAATTTTCATTTTCACCTCTATTGAAAAATCTACCGTTGGAATTGTCAAAATTCAACGAAAAACTCATTCTAATGGAATATTTTTGTTGGAATTTCCGTTAGAATCCATTGAAAAATTCCAACAAAAATAATAGCTTTCTAATATCCATTAAAGTTGTCGTTGGAATCCATTGTAGTATATTATCGTTAGAATTTTTCATTGGAATTTCATCATTTTCTTGTAATGAATTTGTAACAAACAATTGACATAAAATTTGTAAATTTGACAGAAAATAATCTATATGATTAGGTGGCTGATATTAAAAATGAATTAATATGAAATGTTTTCCATTGTATGACATCTTTTTAGGTTGTTGTATAGCATGAATATATGAGTCAGTTTTCATATAGTCCATTTACATACTTGATTTATTTTTTAAATCATATATTCAAATAAATGTACTTTATCCAAATTTGAATGTCACAGCGGGTTGGGAATATATTACAACACACAAAACTCCTCGTTGGTGAGCCAAGCTATAAAACAATACACAAAATAAATAAATAAATAAATAATAAAATAAGATAAAAATGAAACAAAATAAAATAAATTTTTTCACTTGGCATGGAAAAAAACATACACTACTATACACAAAAAGCACATTTTTTCACAATCAATTATGAAATAATAAGATATGATACAACATTAAATAATTATCTTTAGGAGGGTTAGCTTCTAAGTTTGGGTAAATAACATTCATTATGGTCTAATGGATAGGACAAAATCGGTGCTTTAATTTCAACTAATCTCTTGTAATTTTCTTAAAACAGTACTTTTGACTTATGCTCATCTCATTTAACCTACCAAAATTCTTGAACATATACATATATAGTTGTTTAAGCCTGGGTTTTCAAAAAAATTTAAATTTTTAAGTTCACA